ACCGCCACCACTACCGCCACCACCACCACCACTGGCACTAACAACACGGGATTCCTTCCTTCACTTTAGCATTTCCTCAGAGACCTGTCCTAGTTCTGCTTTCATAGGAATCAGCTCATAACTCGTTGACACTACCCCTCGACCACCTACATGTAACTGATGTCAGTTATTTTCTGCTTGAAATGATCTTCAAAACCCCTTGCCGTTACAGTTCCATGGGAAATTTCAAATTCTCTTAGTTTCCTAGATGGAATGAGGTAAATCATCGATTTTTCCGTTGGAGTAGTAGTTGATGTGGCATTGGACAGGGCAAGAAGGTGCCCCCCTCCCAATTAAATTTACTGTAATATCTCCTGTAATGGGGGTTACTTACTCCCGTGTTCAAGAGATAAATGTGGTCAGGGTGATAGCCTTCAAAAACCTCAGGTCTGTGTCTAGAAAACCCGATCCCGTGAACGGCAATGTAGTTTGTAATATTTCAAGGCAATGTTTCGAAATAAAGTCTCTTTACCCACGAAGTCCAAAACCGTCCTTCATCTGGACTGCTGTTATCTTCATGTGTGAAATAAAATATAAATGCTTTTATGAAAAAGGCCTTTAATAAATGAAATTTCCGCCAACCTTGCTATCTTACGGGTATACTGGTCTTTGTCGCAAAACAGTCTCACTTGCACTGATTCATACTAACCCATGACAGCTGTATTAGATGAAACTGCGTCCGTTTATCCTGTCCAAGGGACCTTGATCTCCAGATATGGGTAAGAGTGGTTGAAGTTGTCTTTAAGCACACAATTACAAGGGGATGGAACTATTGGCTCTTATTCGAGAAGAAGAATTCCTTTTTGTTAGATTTTGAATCTAGCACAACCATACCTAATTTGACAGCATAATAAGTCCATACAAATTGCCGTCCCTAATCCTTGTAACAGAATGTGGGTTGCATACCTGTGTTTATCGTTTGTAAACATTCTACTATAGCTAACTTGCTGTAATATACCCTCCAAACAGCAGCTGAATATTTTGTAGCCGAATTGAATCTATTAGTTCAGTTATTCACGTCGTGGGACCCGTACATCATTCGCGGTTCCCCAGGTTACTCATCGCGTTGGCATTTCCAACTTCCAAAGGGCATTTTTTAAAGATTTTTGTGGCCGTTTTAGGCAGTAGTAGAGTACGTCAGTTGTGACGGCCAGATTACTAAAGAGGTTGCCAGCACTAATGAAAGCGTAGGCAGTTCATCCCACACTCTACCCTGAGAACGGGGACTTAGCACATTTCGTCTTTTCCAGTTAATACAAGGAATGGATGACCTAACTACGCAGAACACACCTCGAACCAAATACTATAAGACACTATGGAGACATCTAACGTCAGGTGGGCGCAACATCGACGCCGCTATCACGGAGTCCGTTCATAATTAAGGGGTTTCCTCAGAAAACGAGACAAGAGTATGGTTCGTCCGCGAGGTCAGCAACAGATTAACTTCGGACCCCGTCAAACAGGAATGATGGTAATAGGGGTATACCTGGAGTTAGAGACTTCGGACGCACATAAAAGGAAATCAAGAAATTTATTGCGAAAACAAATGTAAAATAACATCGAAAGCCCTCTAATGAGCTTAGAATGTAATTAGTGAGTAAGCGCTCGAATTCGAAAAGCTAAGCAAAACCGTAGTCAGGATAATCCAGGCAATTGAATAAACCGCTGTGAACTGAATAAGGGATGCTCAAGTTCCCGGCGAAATAGCAGCCAATCGAAATTGGGCGCAGGCGATAATCAGACGTGCAAACAACGCAGGTTGGCTCATACTGTAACGGACCTGACCGAGAAGTGTCCAAGTGTCATCAACATCAGTCCTCCTCGGTTTTCATAGAGCCTCCAGACGATTTGGGTAGGTTCGCATAAAAATAGACCAATGGGTATGCGTAAATCAATTGTAAGAATACTAGAAAGTAAATCGGTTCCAGTAGAATCTTCGGGACTGTTTTTATTGACATTTTGGCTTAGACTAGTCTCTACAGGATCGCTGATAGGCAAACCGAAATACCCAATGGTTAGTCGAAAACTGTTGACTTAATTTGACGAGATCCAATGAAATTGACAGTTTAAAGTGTCCTGGGCCAATAGCATCGGGGAATAGAAAATGGCAAACTTGTGTGTGCCATGCAATGGGAACGCCGAGCTTTGTACTAGCAATTTGTTAGCCATCTTAGTCCAACTAGCGAAAATTAGGAAAAACTTGCTCCATTTTTAAAATACATCAGGGGACGCAATAAGTGTCACGTATTTACTAAAATGCAAAACAAAGAATAGGAAAGGATGTATGACTATGAAAGCTGAGCGAGCGTAAGGAACATTAAAAAGAAAATACAAGTATAATAATGTAAAGAGACGTGGCTTACAAATAGATATATAGGTGAATAATGGAGGCAGTGTACATTCCGAAGCGATATAAGACAAGGTGAAGGCTCGTCGGAAAATCGAGGTATACTCGTGAATTTTCAAGTCGGTTACACCAACCCGTCGTTAGACGTAAATGAAAAGTGTGAGGGAGCTAATCCTACTGGGCAGCTAAGGGGACATCGAGGTTACATCGTCAAGATAGACGTTTATGTGTGGGGGTGAAGAACGTGTTTGGATAGGTGGCGGACGTTAGGGGAGGTGTTGGGTGTTCCACACACGGTTCACTCTGTGGGAGAGGTGCTAAATCCGTGATATCCTACATGACCGAATATGGATTAGCAGTTGGTGTCTTAGGGTGGGCGGAAGACAGCGAACCGTGAACGTAAGCCTTCGTAGTGAGCGTCCAAGTCGACATGGCGGTTGATGCTATTGTTATTAGAGTGCCAAGCTTCTAGAAACTCTCGCGCTTGTTTGGTGTTGACACTAGCGATCACTTCGGTCCCCTCCCAGTTGAAGCGGCGATCACACTCAAGGGAGTGCGAAAACACGAGGGACAAGAGTCCCGTCAGCGGATGGCCAACTTGTGTTCGTTAATGCGAGTCGCAAGTCGTCGGCTGGTATGCCCAACATAAACGCTAGAGCAGTTTGCACATGGAATGCGGCAAATGACGTTTGCTTGCTGCTCCTTCGGTATGGCGTCTTTTACCCGTCTTCATTGCGTACGAAATTATTCTCACTTTGAATATCAAAGCACGTAAAGGCAGTCAGTCCATGTCGTTACAAACACCAGTATCTGTAAGTGAAAGGTAGTTGCAATGGTTAGAGATAGCGATAAACCGTAACCTAATTTCTTTTTTTAACGCAGACCACCGCCTGAACAAACTGTAAGACGTTAGAGGTGTACTCTGTGAAGCTAAGCTAAGCTAAACCGTAGTCTTGAGTTGTTCAGTCCTGCCGCTTGCCTCGAATTATAGCCGTACTCGACGCACGAACGTCGACCTGCCTGTTTGCTGCTGACTGGCTTAGACCTCCCCGGGGCTGACCGCTGACAGGCCTGCGTGACCTTTGTTCCCTTTGGGGTCGGCGTAATTGTAGTCAAATCAACGTGCCGCTTGGCTTCTCCCACGTCAGCCGGTGGACTGATCGGTCGTTGCTGATCAGGTGATCAGCACTCAGCTTGGCGGGCGCATCGGTGAGACAGTGTTCGGCTTTGGTCACATGACCTCTGGCCCCAAAATCCGCTCTTTTCCATGAACGTTGAATCTCGGTCCCGCGTGCTCGCTTGCCTTACTGGTCCTGTCCGGACTGATCCGAGCCTTGTACGCAGCGTCTAGTAGGCGGGATGTAGATCTATATCTCGGTTGAGTGTGGCAGTCGAGGACCCACTTTCGAGCACCAGTCTGGCCATCTTCTCATTGGCTCGACCAATTACCCCCGCTTTCTCAAATTCAAAATCGTGGTTCGGTTCACGTATGTGGCCGTAGACCAAAGACAGCTTGTCCTTGTGGCTTACAAATAGTTATATAGGTACATGTAATGCAAATAAGTCCTGTCAAATATCCAGGACTTCGGTATCAAAAACAAATTCACACCCTGAATATTGAAACACGAAAGGGGATGTGGTTATAATCATCAGTTGCAATAGTTAGAAATAGCGATGCAAAGTAAACTAAATTCTTTTTTAACGCAGACCACCACCTGAACAAACTGTAAGACGGTGGAGCAGACAAACAACTGGTAATCCTATGAAACTGGTTCACAACAGCCAATTTTCTCAGTTGTAAGAATTTTCATGTCTATAAAGTAATCACAAAATACTCAGTCTTTGCAATCTCCTTGATCACGGACAAGACTTTCGCATAACATCTAACGCATCCGGTTTGAGGAGCACGCTAATGAGTCTGTATAGACATTTCTGCAGTGCCTGGTTCTCGGGGCGGGTGTCTGCGGGGCCAATAGCACAGGTCGGTGAAACACGCAGGCCAAGCCTAATTTGTACCCGGGAGAAAACGTAATTGAACAACGCCTACATTAGTAAACGTAGTAGCCAGTCTTGTGTACTATTAGACATACCCGAGGGATAAACCATACTCTTACCTGGCTTAGCTTTTTATTCGTTGGCGGACACACTTCCAGTCGCGCGTATCCACAGGTAACGTCCGTAACCTTCTCATCGCCGACGATTGCGCTCTCAGCGCCATCACAGAAGAAGACAAGCAGTCTTCGACAAATTCGGTCTGACAGTCAGCAAAGACTAGACGGTGAGTATTCACCATCCGTTACCTAACGCTGAATACAACTCTCCTGGGATCACTGTCAAGGCAACCTACTTCAAACTGTGGACATCTTCGCCTATCTAGGGAGCACACTCTCGCGTAATACAGACATCTACGATGAGGTTGTGCGTCGGCTCTCCAAAGCCAGACAGGCCTTTCACCGGATGCAGACCTCCATGTGGAATCGACACGGCCTTCAACCGAACACCAAACGGAAGATGTAGAAGGTCGTTGTCTCGACGACACTCCTGTGCGTAGTGGGAACCTGGATCGTCCACGCAAGCCATGACAGAAAGCTGAACCACTTCCATCTCAATTGCCTTCGCAACATACTGAAGCTGGGATGGCAGGACAGGATCCAGGGCACGGAAGTCCAGGAACGGACCGGAATCCTCACTATCCATGCCATGCTGAGGCAACTGCAATTGCAATGGAGTGGCCATTTAGTGAAAGTGATCGACGCTCGCCTACCAAAATACTCTACTATGGAAATTTCGCCATAGGTTCTCGGCGACTGGGAGGACCAAAACGACGCTACTAGGACAATTTGAAAATTTCCTTGCAGCGCCTGCAGATCAGCCTGGTTAGACAGGAAGACCTCACCCGAAACCGAGCAGTCTGGAGGAGGACAGTAAATACGGGAGCAGTGACCTACGAAGCCGACCGCGTAACCGCCGGCAAGACCAAACGCATAGCTCGAAAATCCCAATTACCCCTTCCTCGCATCGCCAATATTCAACCGCCCTCAAACTACCCTCGCTGTCAACGAACGTTCCGGAATCGAATCGGTTTTACTGGACATTTTCGAACCAATTGCGGCGTCCGGGAAACACTATTTGATGCTTTCCGACCACTTTTTCTCCTGACCAATGTCAATAATTTACCACAACCGTGCTTCTGTTCACCCGACACCCTCCACCACTATCTTTCCCCCCGTCTCAGCATTTGTTGCGGCGGCTCCTGGCCTCATTACAATCCCGGCGCAGAGTGGAACAACAGCCTCACCACCGCCAACACCAGTGATATGGACTCAGTCCAAGCCTGTCCACATTGCGATCCCATAACCACCTCACACTTTGCCCTGGTCGGTCACTTGATAATTCATGGCACAGAGACTAGCAAACCAGTGCCTGGATCACCCACATACACTCGCAGCATCTGCCTCAACTGCCCCCGCTGCCTTCGCACATTCACTCACCTCATGGGATTGTTCGGTCACATGCGTATCGACGACAACGGGATTCACCGCAGACTCGACACGCCTAGCCCACCTAGCACATCCACAATGATTAGGCCAATCCCCAACCCATCGCCCAGCACGCCTGCCCCCAGTAGCTCCATCACCACCACCAACACCACTGAAACCACACTGTCCCGTACATCCACCTCACACATCAGCCTGGTCGATCACTCGCGAATCCATCGCACAGAGACTGGCGAACCAGTGGCTGGAGCACCCACATACACTAGACACATCCACCTCAACTGCCCTCACTGCAACCGCATATTCACCCCGCTCATGGGCCTATAAGGCCACACGCGCATTCGCGAAAACCTGAAGTGGGCAACCGCCGGCTACATCACACCATCACCTCCTCCCCCCTCTACATTACACAACATTATCACCCACCAAAAGCATTCAATTGACACCTTCCACGCAAGTGGGAAGTGTGCGTCTGGGCTCCGTCTCCATTGGAATCCTGTGCTGCTTATTAGATCCAAATTTGAGACACGTACGTTCAGCACTGTGGCTTGGAAGGCTGCCCGCTGATGCCCCAACTCAGTCCATGCAGTCCGCGCATATGTCTGTGTGTTTGTGTGGAGTGACAGACTGGTGGGCTCTTTCTTAGTGTGACCTACGGCACTCGCACGCGTGTGAGATTTAAGCCGCCCAACCCCCGTTAAGTGAAAACCTGGTGCTTCCGTTTTGGGGGTCAGGTTGTACATGTGGCGCGCGCAGACAAGCTTACGAGATATGTCAGGAACTGTACCCATTCCCCGCACCAGTCAACCGACCGGCTCCGTCGGTGAATGGGGCCTGGAAATGGTAAGGCAGAGTGAGGTCGACGACTCAGCATAAACCATCTGACACGCTTGAAGCTATCACAGTGCGCTAAAAGCCGTGGCTTCGTAAGTTGCCAGCTGACGGGATAACTTGGACCTCGCAGTCGGCCCAGTATTGTGTGTGTTTGTGTTGAGTGGCCGGCTCCGTCGGTGAATGGGGCCTGGAAATGGTAAGGCAGAGTGAGGCCGACGACTCAGCGCATATAAACTATAAACCACCTGACACGCCTCACCACCGCCAACACCAGTGATATGACCTCGTTCCAAGCCTGTCCACATTGCGATTCCACAACCACCTCACACGTCGGCCTGGTCGGTTACTTGCTAATCCATGACGCAGAGACTAGCAAATCAGTGCCTGGACAACCTACATACACTCACAGCATCCGCTTCCAATGTTCACACTGCCCTCCCCCCGCACATTCACTCACCGCATGGGTCTAGTCGGTCACATGCGTATCGACGACAGCGGAATTCATCGCAGCCTCGAAACGCCTAGCCCACCCAGCACACCCACCATGACAAGTCCAATTGGAAGATGAAGATGTGATCACTGGAACAAGAAATTTATTGGCCTGTCGTTTTGTATTCTCACTCGAACCCATCATTAGAGACAGTCGCATTTAAGGGTAATGGTGGCACAATTAGTGCAGTATTTATAGCACGTGGCTATCGTGGGACCATATGCGCACTGCAATTAACAGCTCTCGTAATCACCGCTGGGGTCTTAATTGATGCGATGGTGGCTTGTCAGTCCGAGTCCGAGTCGATAATTGCTATGATTTCGTCATCAGTGCTGGAGGCTCGGCAAATTGGTTCACTGTCAGTGGGATAATTGTTCGCCCGCGCCCTCCCCACATGCCTGATTCCCCTGCCCAGGGAAAATTTCAGCACGGGATATGGTACCGGGAGGTCATTGAGCTTGTTCATGGATTGTGGGCCTGAGAACCATGGTCTTCGCAGCTTGGTGTGTGCTGAAAGTTCTCTGGCACATGGTTCTCTTGCGGTAGATGCGTCTGCGCCCTCGCCGGGTATACAGGTTGTCGGTATGGTTATCTGTCACCATCCACTTTCTGACACGTTTATTTTGTCGTTAGTTAAAATCCTGATCAGGTGTTTTTTGCGGACAAGGGGATATGGTGGTACGCCTAGGTGCGAGTCCGGTCGCGCCAACCGCCTGCGCCCTCTCGCGCCTTTGGTCATCTTGACCATGTGTCAACAGAGGTTCCAGGTAGGGAAGGAGAAGAGAGTGCGGTAGATACTGCGCAAGTCCACGCTTACTATGAGCTAATTCACGCCTAAGTCACCGTGTCTGTTCTCAGCCTGCTACAAAGCACACGGTGGATATCATCGGTTGCGATGATCGAGCTGCCAAGACGTTGGGGCCCTCATTTTTGAGTACTATTAAGTCAAGCATCATCAAACGGGGCTGCTGCAGGCTTTAGAAGACTTTATATGTACAACTTGAATGCGGAGCCCAATAATTAGTCCTAGGCGTGAGTCTGAGCAGGCAGACATGGCCTCTTCACCAGAAGATGCCATTGGTCACTCCGTCCTACGCGCCTTCTTGAGACATGCCATGTCAGATGCCTCGCATTGGGCAACACACCGGCCGGAATTTGATTGGTCAAATGTACGTTGAAAAGTAAGGCAGCGGCTGGGGTTATTATGAATTGCTAACCCACCTCGCCCTTCCCATCTACAATGCTGTCCTTCATTCCTGTCCTGCTGTTTAGCGTCACAGCAAGTTTTGCCGCTTCTAGCAGTCCTGGTAAAAAACCTAACTAATCTGATTTAGTCCATTCTATGTATTTTGCCGTTTGTAATGTGGACATTGTGTTTCGCATAATCTGCCAACTGGCGCTTCCGTTTTCTAACCCAATGCAGGACCCAAACAATGTCCGAAATGGAGGGGAGTGGTATTGATTGGAGATGTCTTGCAGAGTTTCCTGGATCGGATCTCGGAATTGATGGTTACGGAGCCGTACTCTGTGGACACCATGACATCTCTTCTGATGAAGATTCAAAAAACGCAGGCGACACCGCGGTGCATTGTTCAGCAACATGGACAGCACTTCGAGGATGTTAGGTGCACCATTTCGACTGCTCGTGTTGACATCTTCCTGGAGCAGATGTGAGTTCGCTATACAGGCATAATTTATTTTTGCATTCAGGTGATTTATGCCCTCTTCTTTCCCATAAGCCGGTATTTTGATCGTTTTATCCTGAAATTTGTGTATCACCACATGTACACATTTCCACTAACCCCCTTTATGCTTTAGGGTGACAGACATGGCGGCCGCAGACGGACGTTGGTATCGGGCTGACGCAATTCAGATTGCCATTTCAGGCGCAGTACTTAATGCAACGTTGAATAAAACGACCACGGGCAATAGCAACCACGCTCTGAATGTTATTAAGCTTGTTGCACTCAGCATTAAAGATATCAGCTCAATCATGGAAGCGCAGAAAAATTCTCTTCCCACTACCCATGCAAACTACTGGAAGACGTGGGTTATCGAAAACACCGAACGACTTCTCAGACTCGCATTTCTCAAACACGGTGTGGTAGACTGTGTATGGCAGCCGAATATTTGATCATAAAAATTTTTTGAAATTAAAGATTCGCTGCTTTTAGGACGCTGGCATCCACTGGAAACTCTGTCTTTTTGCATGTTGTTTCTTCATTTGACGATAACAGCACATAGTTTGTTTGACCAGTAGAATTTTCTCTCATAAACTTTGAGGACGTTTGTCAAGTTATTGGCAGCAGCCTTTTTTGAAGTACTTGGTGTCGGAAATACACCAACTTCGAATGAGTTATTGTTTGAGGACGTCTGTGGGCCATTTTTCGCCATCCCCCAGATGCCATGTTTTCGGCAGCCGCTCCTTCTAAGGTATTTGTTGTTGGAAATACACATTTTTGAATCGTCTTCAGCCTTCTTACTAGCAGTTCTCGGACATCAAAAGGAGTCGAATTATCAAACATCCATGTGGGTGTCGCGCACCATGAGTATGGTAGAATTGTGGGGAGGTTTCACAGTCAGTTGTGTGTAATTTGGATAGGCATCAGCGCGCCTTCAGCATCCATGACTGAAAGCCACTTTACTCTAGTACTGAAACAGTCCTGACGGGGGGAAATGAAAGTCAAGGGCATTCCAGCAGGACAGAACGAATAAGAGTTTCTTAAAAATGCTATAAGGAGTGGTAGGAAGAGTTGGGCCAATACCACGTAGAGGCACTTCTACGGATTTCTTGAGCATACTTACTTCAGAGATAGTTATATTTCCCCGTTACCCTATTTTAAACCCACCGCGCACGGCGAGGTTGCTACCTCATAGCAAATCAATAATAAATCATACGTCAGAGACGATATTTC